TAGAAACTCGCCAAACCATGAAAACTCCGCACCTCAGAAATATTTTTAGGTGTCGGCCATTTTTTAATAGCCTTAACCTTTTCTTCATCTACTGTGATTCCATCAGCTGAAACAACATACCCTAAAAAAACAATCTGATTTGTGCAAAAGGAACACTTTTTAAGGTTAGCAAACAACTTTTCTTTTCTCAACACCTCTAGTACCATTTGCACATGCTCAATATGTTCAATATATATCAGAATGTCATCAAAATAAACAACCAAAAATTTGCCAATGAAAGCACGTAAAACATGATTCATTAATTGCATGAATGTACTAGGCGCATTAGTTAACCCAAATGGCATAACTAACCATTTATATAAACCATGTTTCGTTTTAAAGGCTGTTTTCCATTCATCTCCTTCCTTCATCCTAATCTGATGATATCCACTCTTTAAATCAATTTTAGAGAATATGCAAGAACCATGCAACTCATCTAACATGTCATCTAATCTAGGAATAGGGTGACGATACTTTATAGTGATTTTGTTGACTGTGCGACAATCCATGCACATACGCCAAGTCCCATCCTTCTTAGGCACAAGTAGCACTAGAACTGCACATGGACTCATGCTTTCTCTCACATGTACCTTTTTCATGAGTTCTTCGACCTGCCTTTGAAGTTCTTTCATCTCATTGGGATTGCTTCGATATGTTGGTCGGTTTGGAATTGTTGCACCAGGAATGAAGTCAATTTGATGCTCAATTCCTCTTATTGGTGGTAAACCATTAGGAACGTCATCTGGAAACACATCCTTGAAGTCCTGCAAAAGAGATTTAACAACATTAGGCAAATAATCATTAAGTTCGTTAGTGTTGAAATAAGCATCTTTATATATAAGCACAAACATAGGCTGCTTTACAAGAATGCAGCCTTGACATCACTTTCTTTTGCATAAACACTCACTGATTTTCTCTCTTTGTTTTCAACACTATCAATCTTTTCCCTCTTTTTGGACTCTTTTTTTGCTGTTTTCTCTTTGTTTTTCATACCCTCAAGCTCACTCTCATTTCTCAACTCACTCCCTTTTTTTACTCTCAGTTGATCCTCACAAACCTGCCTTGGACTCAATGGTGCAATAGTAATTGTTTTCCCCTCCATGACAAATGAATAGTGATTTTTGAAGCCATCATGTGTTACCCTCCCATCATATTGCCATGGTCTTCCTAAAAGTAAATGTCCAGCATGCATAGGAACCACGTCACAAAGTACCTCATCCTTATATCGTCCAATAGAGAATGAAACCAGAACTTGCTTAGTTACCTTGATTTCTCCACAATCGTTTAACCATTGCAGCTTATATGGCCTTGGATGCTTCATCATAGGTAGATTAAGCTTTTCAACTAAAATAGTGTTAGCTACATTAGTACAACTACCACCATCAATAATCACACTACATACCTTGTTTTTGACATGGCACCTCGTGTGAAATATATTGTCACGTTGTACTTCATCATCTTCTTTGGCTTGCACATTCAAAGCTCACCTAGTGACAAGCAGTTCTCCATCAACGACATATTCCACCTTCTTTTCCCACTCCAAATACACATCTGGATTATTTTTGCCTTGAAATGGAGGAATCTTCATCTTGATGCTGCCTAAGTCATGATCTTGCCGATCTCCCCACCTTGCCAGATTTTGGTCTCCTTTGTTAAATCTATATCTTTGACCCCCTCTACCTCTCATAAATCTGTCCATGCTGAAATTTGAGTTCTGGGCATCATCGTTGAATGCATCTTCATCATTGTCATCAAGATCGTGATTATGCAAATTTGGACTTCCGTTATGTATTTGGTATAACTTGGCAATGGCTACATCTTGCTTCTCCATTTTGTCTTTAATTTCACCAAACATGATGTCTAGCCTCTGAAATTGTTGTTGCATAGCTTTGAGCATGAAGGAATCATCCATTTAGTGTTTTCTATCATCACCGCTTGACATGATTGAAACCTGCAAGGAATGTTAGAAATAGAAAATAAAAGGATCTCATAACACTCCCTTACGTGTTTCACTCTATTCTCTCACAAAATGGCACTTAACACTCGTGTTTCGCACGCTGTAGAACTTGGCTTTTCTCTCAAATGTTGCTCACACCTCTTGCATTTTTCCCTCACTCAACTTTCCTCTTTCAGTTCGTTATTGAACTAAACAAGCTCAATTCAAGTTATTTTGCAACAATCTAACTCCAACAAATCTGCAAGAGTTAAAGGAAACAGAAAGATACAAAGGAACGAA